AAAAAAAAAAAAAAATTCCAAAATTTTGAATAGAAAGAAAAACCGTGGTGTAAAATCAAACCTGAACATCAGAACCACGGACATGCTCAGAAGTGATGGCCCCTGGGGCTGCCTGACCCTCCCACCCGCCCAGGACCTCCTGGGTAGCTGCAGAGGCACCCACTGAGCCCCTGCCCAGACCTGGGCACCCCACCCAGTGCAGAGCAGGAGGTCACAACGCCCTGATATCCTCCCAGCTACTCATCCCAGCAGGGAGGAGGAGGAGGAGTTTAAGTTATTGACTAGGACAAGGGGACCAGTTGGTGGCCAAGGAGAAGCACGTGGCCCTGGCCCGTCTGTCGCTCAGGGCTCGGCCCACACCTCCCTTTTCCTCTGCTCTTGGCAGTGGATTCCAAACTAAAGGAGAATGAAAGCCACCAGCTTCTGCTGAGCATGACTTGAACTGCCAACCAGGCCCTGGGGATGGATGGGCAGGTGAAAAAGGGACTTAATTCCCTCAAAAAGAGGCTATTTAGGAAAAATAAGCCAAGTGAGCCTTCAAGTGACTATTTGGAACTATACACAGATGGCATTTGCCTTAGAGACATCACACACACGTCGATAGATTTCCTGGCAAGAGCTCTTAACACAAGCCATACATGGTTAGTAACTACTGGATCTGCTGGGTGGGCTTCTGTGGAGCCACCCAGAAGGTAGCCAGGTCTTCCTAGGTCATGACGGGGGTGACCAGGCCCTGGAGCATGATCATGAGGCGACGGGCAGACTTGCTCAGCGTGTTATGGGGCTCCACCTGCAGGAACTGAAAGAGCTTCTGCCGCACCTGGTTCATGACTGACCCCATGTGGTCCCGGGTGATGGGGTCACTGTGGTCCAGGTGCATTACCGCTTCCTCCAAGTAGCTGAAGGACAGAGACTGGGGTTAGAACCAAAGCCAACGTGCAATCCCAATCTGATGTAGATGCATGAATCTGCTCCACCACCCACCCAACCTCAGTGCAGTATGTTCAGCCACCAGAAAATAAACTTGACTCACAGCAGAGTCCACCCATCCCTTCTTCTGCGTGCAAGGGCAGCCTCCAGAACGTGCCACACAACCCGGCTGCCCGAACCCAAGCAGGCACAACGGCAAGCTAGAACTCCCTGCAGAGCTGGGGGTGGCACTTGGCCACAGGCCATGCCTGGTCACAGCTCTCTCTGTAGGTATCTTCGATGCCTTTTTAGCATAAGTAGAATCATAGAATCGTTTCAGTAGGAAAAGACTTTTAAGATCATCAAGTCCAGTAAGTAACCCAACACTGCCAGGTCCCCACTGACCAGTGTCCTGCAGCACCCCATCTCCATGGCTTGGAAACCCCTCCAGGGATGGGGACTCCACCACTGCCCTGGGCAGCCTGGAACAGCCCTGGACAACCCTCAAGGGCAAGAAATGGTTCCTCAGGTCCAACCTAAGTTCATTTTGAGAAGAGACTGAGCCCCACCTGGCTCCAATCTCCTGTCAGGGAGATGTTGAGATTGAGGAGGTCTCCCCTGAGCCCCTTTCTCCAGGCTCAACAACCCTATGTCCTTCAGCTGCTCCTTGTAAGACTTCTTAGTCACTTACTAGACAGTGAAAATCCTCAGCAGTGAGGCTTATTTCACACAGGGGTATATTTAAGGTCTTCTTCCAACATGTTTACCCAGGAAGGGGTGGGAGGAGAGCAGGGATTTTACCAACATGCCATTCCAAAGTTCAGACAAGCCAAACCACACCGAGAGTGAGGCCACGTGGTTACTACTGCAAAAGGCACCTACTAAGAGGCCACCCTGAACTTAACAGCAGCAACCTGAGCTCCAGTTACCAGCTTATCTGTACTTTGAAGCTCTTTTTCAGGTTTTCTAGCTTGTCTGATTCCCAACATTGAGTTAAAAAAATCCTCAAGTTTAAGCCATTTTTTCCAGACAAGCCATGGTCAAAACCTGCAGGTACCTGAACTAGTTCAGTTTTTAGGGCAGCTCTGAGGGTTTTGACTCAGTTGCCATGAACATTTTTAGTGAGTATCAACACAGTCACTATTTTGTCACACGAGTTTTGCTCAGAACATTTGACAAACAGCTGCCACCTCCCACCAAACCCATCCAGGAGTCACGATCAAACTGCTGACACAACGTCCAGCGATGGTAGAAGAATCCAGGACACAGCAAAGCTGCTCTGGATGTTAAACTATGCAGAAAACGTAGCACCAAGCCTCCTTCTGCCTCCACGGGGAGCTGCCCCTTGGTTAAAGGAGGACATGGCTGGACAGACAGCAAGGATTTACGGACTATGACCCAGGAGGTAACAGCACCTACGATGGGAGACTCTCCTACTCCTATCTCTGGGCAGCAGAACCGTCTGTGGCAGTGCCTGCAGCCTTTGCGTGGTTGTTGACACGCCACAGAAGTCCTGAAATTCATCAAAGCACCACCTTCCACTTCAGGCAGCAAATTAAAGCCAGCGCCAGGAACAGCTCTGCAGAAGTTCAGACCTGGTGCTCTGATCATACTCACTTCAGCTTCAGCTCCGTGCGAGTGCCCAGGTCAGAGGAGAGCTGCTGGATGAGAGAGAGCAGCACAGGCTGGGACAGTGGGCATGGGTGCTGGCCAAACACCTGCTGAGTGTCCACGGTCTCACACACGTACAGGACCAAGTTGAGATCAGCAGCTGTCAGAGCCTGCAAGGAAGACACAGACAGAAATCACAGAACATTCACAGAATCCCAGAATCCTGAGGGTTGGAAGGCACCTCTGGAGATCATTTCATCCAACCCCCTTGCTCCAGCAGGTCACCCACAGCAGAGTGCCCAGGATGGTGTCCAGGAGGGTTTGGAAGCTCTCCAGATGAGACTCCACAGCCTCTCTGGGCAGCCTGCTCCAGGCTTGGCCACCCTCAAAGCAAAGTTTCTCCTCCTGTTCAGGTGGAACCTCCTGGGTTCCAGCTGGTGCTCATTGCCCCTTGTCCTGTCGCTGGGCACCACTAACAAGAGTCTGGACCCAGTCTCTTGCCCCCCTGGGGCCCTTTAGCTCTTGATCACCATTGATCAGACCCCTCCGAGTCTTCCCTTCTCCAGCTCACCAGCCCCAGGCCTCTCAGCCTTTCCTGGCACAGAAATGCTCCAGGCCCCTCAGCAGCTTTGCAGCCTCCGCTGGACTCTCTCCAACCGTTCCTTGTCTCTCTGGAACTGGGAAGCCCAGCACTGGACCAAATACTCCAGAATTGGCCTCACTAGGGCAGAGTAGAGGGGGAGAACCTCCCTTGATCTGCTGACCACACTCTTCTTCATGCACGCCAGGAGACTATTTGCCTTCTTGGGCATGTTGTTGGCTGATGGGCATCTTTTTATCCACCAGCACTCCCAGGTCCTCTCTGCAGAGGAAATGCAGAGGAGACAACTGGCAGGTGAGGGACACAGGACGGAGCAGACAGCCCTCTGCCTTGAGGCAGCTCAGTGGCTGACCAACCTCCTCTCAGAGCAGAGCTCTCTGCAAACCCTGCTGCAGATGGGAGCAGGACCCTGTTTAGACTCCAGGTCTGTGCTCGGGGGACACCCGTGTCCGATTCCAGCTGAAGGAGCACAAGCAGATCGAGGGGAGCAGGTTGTGGTCACATCCCCTGCCATGGCAGGAGTTTGCCTGCAGCAGCTCAGAGGGATTTGCCTCCACATTCAAAGGCAAGGCAAGGTCAGGCTCCAGCTGGTAGATCTGCCTGGAGAGGCTTACGAAGCTGCTGCTCCTCAGGGGTGCACCACGTGCCACTGCTCACAGCAAAACACTCTGGCCCTCTGGAGTGCTGGCACTGACCTGCTGGGGCAGGAAGAAAACACCTAACCGCAACCAAATCATCAACCTCGCACGGCTCTGGCTTGACCAGCTTCAGGGTGCAACTACACCCCTCGAGCACACGTCAGCTCCTGTCGTGGGATTACTTCCCCAGCTCAAGGAGCCCTTTTTTCCCCCCCAATTGCTAGAAAACTCAGGTACCTGCTGGAAAGCTTGGTTGAGGTGTCCCTGCTGGAGCATCTGGAGGATGTGAGTTTGCTGAGACTGGAAATCCAAGTGAGCAGAGGGGATGGGAGTCCCGGCTGCCGAGCGCATGGCCTGGACGATGCTGGAGGTGACGGCTGCTTGCTGCTCCTTCATAGCCAGGCTCACTTCTCCTTTAATGACTCTCTGCACCTGGGCCAAAATAGTCTCCTGCATGCTAAAAAAAAACCCAAAAACAAACCCCAAAGGCATGTCTGAAAATGAAGAGACAAGGGACAACGCTGCATGAAGCTCATACCAAGCAAGGAAGCCCAGGTTTGATTCTGGGAGTGAGGCTCCCAAAGGGTTAATCCAAAGTGCCCTGAGGCACAGGCATGGACAACCTGCTGGCCAAGGTAGCTTTGTGGCCAGCAACTCCACATCCCAGGGTTTGTGTGGAAGATGCTGGGATTCTATGTGCAAAGTGATGTTTCAGGGAAATAAGTTTCTCCTTCGGTGTTTTCAGTCTTCAACATCCTGGCTCACACTCAAGGCTACTAAAGCTCCAGGTTTATCTCTGAACGGGCCCAGATTTCTACATCAGATCTGCTAGATGCAGGTTCCCAGCCTGCAGGTGACACCTTTAGAATGACACCGCACTTAGAATGATGGACTGGTTTGGGTGTGAATGACCTTTCAAAGCTATCTACTCCAAACCCCTGCAGGGAGCAGGGACATCTGCAGCCAGAGCAGGTTGCTCAGAGCCCTGGCCAACCTCACCTGGAATGGTTCCAGGTATGGAGCATCCACCACCTCTCCGGGCAACCTGTGCCAGGGTCTCACCACCCTCAGTGTCAAACATTTCTTCCTTCTCTCTAGTCTAAATCTCGCTCTTCTAGTTTCAGACCATCCCCCCTTGTCCTGTCCCAACAGGGCCTGCTAAAATTATTGTCCCCAACTTTTATAGTCCCCCTTGAAGTGCTGAAAGGCCACCAGAAGTTCTCCCTGGAGCCTTCTCCTCTGCAGGCTGCCCAAGCCCAACTCTCTCCTGCTGGGCTCCCAGCAGAGGGGTTCCCCCCTCGGGTCATTGCTGGGGCTCCTCTGGCCCCGCTCCAGCAGGTCCCTGTCTCTGCTGTGCTGAGGACTCCAGAGCTGCCCCAGCACTGCAGGGGGGTCTCCCCAGAGAGGGGCAGAGGGGCAGGATCCCCTCCCTGCCCTGCTGCCCACACTGCTGGGGGTGCAGGCCAGGCTGCTGGGGGCTTCTGGGCTGGGAGCACATGGGGCCAGCTCCTGGCCAGCACCCTCGCCCCCAGCACCCCCAGGGCCTTCTCCCCAGGGCTGCTCTTCAGCCCTTCTCACCCCACTTGGGCTGACACTGGGGGTTGCCCCAACCCAGGGATAGGACCTTGCACTTGGCCTCACTTCCTCTGGGCCTGTGACCTCCCCACAAAAGACCGTTCACAGCACAGGCTCTGCTGCTCTGTTACACTTTTCCCTCTGCCAGAGGCTGGAGCCTCCCCTCTTACCATGGGCACAAAGAACCAAACCTGTTCTGCTGCAGGTACAACAGCAGGACTTCCCTGTGAGCTTGCTCAGCTCAGGCAACATGACCAGAATTTAGTCTGGTAGCCTTCTTGGCATGCCTGGTCTACACTGAAGACCCCGATGTGCTCCAACATATGTTCTAGTGGCTTAAAATAGGCAGGGGCATCCTGCCCTGCAGGTGACCACCAGCCAGTCTTAGTGCATGGCAACCTGCCACACCAGTTTCACGGTGTGAAAGTGCTGTAGGCACCACCAGGATGGCCAAGCAGGAATTGCTGCAGAGCAGCGGGGATGGCAGAGCAGCCTGCAGAAACTGTTGGTAGGCCTGAAGACATGGAGTTCAGCAGAAAATCCTTCAGAAGCCCAGAAGGACATTTCAGAATAGAAAGGCCAGTCAGAATGGAGTGTGCTTTTGGGCTGCCCTAAGTCCTTCTGCTCTCCAAGATGCACACAGGACACCAAGGAGCAGGCTCTCAGCCACCAGAAGCAGCAGTGAGACGGTTGGTTGCTATAAACCTTCTGTGCTTGTTGTTTTGTGCCCAACAGGGCAACAGCTGGACCAGCCCAGATGTTCTGTCAGACTCTGCACAGAGCCAGCAATCAGCCCTACATCAGCAGCTTGTTCCAGGACTAGCAGGGAGAGGTTTTCATTACAGACACCTACACCTCTCCCCTGACATGTCCCACCACAAGCCCAGCTGCCAACTTACTTGCCCACGAGGATGTGGAGCTGGTGCTGCACCTCAGTGTGGACGCTGGCCGCCACGGTGGCCGCCAGCTGCTCGGTGCTGCTCTGGAAGGTGCTGATCAGCTGTCGAAGCTGACTCAGCAGCGGGTCCCGCACCTCCTGTTCTCGTACCTTCTTGTTCTTCAAGTGAGTCTCCAGCTGCTGGACATCTGCAACAAGCAGAGAGGAAGATGTTGGTGCCGCTGGTACCTGGAAAGATGGGCAGGGCAGTAATCCAGCTGCCAGGTTCTGTACATTCTCCAGCAGGAGCAGCTGCTGAGCCAGTGTACGAGCATAGGAAAGGGTGGGATACACGAGCCTTGGTTTGGGCTGTTACACCAACACGGAGACCCTGCTTCCAGCCTGCCCATCAGGCAGCCCCAAGTGTTCTCCTGACCGACCTTTACAGGCACTGTCTGTTCAGAGCAAGATAAAGGTGGGAGCCAGGGCATGGCATTTTCTACGCAGTGTGAGCTGTGTCTGCAGTACTGATGGAGGTTAATGAAGAAAAAGGAGGAACGTTTATGACACACACACAAAAAATGTCTGTAGAGGTCAAAAAGCTGTATTATTTTAAAATGTTTTATGAACTGGTTTGATCAAAAGGGAAAAAGAATATCAGCTCTGGTTATTTGTGGGAGACTTCCGAGGAAAAGGAAGAGTGCGGAACAAACAGCAGCTGGAGACACTGCAGATCTAGGGACAACAGAAGGTGCTGTGCCAGCACTAGCCAACTTCAGGCCCTCTCTGCAGAGTAATACCTGCCTGGCCTCCCAGAAATCCAAGGAACTGGATCCCAAGCCTCAGAAGAGGAAAGATCTTCCCTGGTACATTAGTGTACAATTTTCCTTTCTTAAGGGTATAGTTTTCTCCATGTCTGACACTGTTCAGCCAGTGCTGAACCTCTGATCATCCCTGTACCCTTCTCTAAAGCTTCCCCCATTCCATTACTCCTCTGAGACAAAGGCCTAGCTGCAGGCCTACTACCCTCTCGAGACATCATCCTCCTGACATCAGGATGGGGTAATCCTTCAGCTGGGCTCTTCTACTCAATCGATGAAGTCACAGATTCATAGAAGGAGGCCAAGTGTTTTGCTGCACAGGCTACAAAGACCAGAGATGAATCTCCGTTCTTATAGCACCCCTCCAAAAAAAACTCCTCACTTCTGCTTCTATGTCCCAAGCATGGAATGGAGCATGCAGATGGGCTGAGAGGTTAAACCAGTCACCTCTGAGGAAGGCAAAGACATATGAAAAGGCCAACTTGTTCCCAGCTACTAATGCAAATACGCTGTGTGGAGAAAGCTCAGAGAAGAAAACCTACTCACATTCCTGAGTGCCCTGCTTGAAGGTGTCGTTGATCTGCTGGAACATGGACTGGCAGCTCTTCTCGAAGGCTGGCAACACAACGCTCTGAAACGCTTCCCTGTAAGCTGCCTGGATGGGCCCCTGCAGGGTATCAGCTGTTGCCCTCACGATGGTGTCTGTAAGGTTCTTACAAGCACACACAAGAGATTCCAGAAAATTAACAACTACCAGCTGCAGACTGAAGATGCAGGGACCTCCAGTGCTCCTTCACAACATATCCACACCAGAGGACAGCCTGGGGTTATAAGTGTGTACTGCCTCAGCAGCTGAGCTGATGAGGCCAGGAAGGAGGTTTGACCACCAGCAGCTACACTGACTTCAGACCCACCTGGGGAGACGAAGAGGTATGAGGAGTCACTGCCCCATTCTGCTTACCTTTGACTTCACTAGCTTGGTGATACTCTCTTTCAGTGTCCCCTCCACAGCAGCAAGCTTGGCAGCAATAGTGTTACTCAGCTGGCCAGCAACAGGGTCCACACTCTTGGAAATGCCTACACACAACACAAACAGTTGCAGCTTTAAGCCTAGATTCACACTTCAAAACCCAAAAAAGAAACAGAGTCAAACTTTTCTTGGATATGATGCAGTGAGGGGCAACGGGCACAAGCTCTTGGTAAGGTTGGACTCCAGGAAAAACCTTTTGCTAGGAAGGTGGGACAGCTCTGGGTGTCACCAGAGAGGCTGTGCCATCTCCAGGCTTGAAGGTTTTCAAGACTGCCACTTCAATGGGGTGCCAGCACTTGCCCTACGAGGCCAACCGTAGGTATCCACCTTCAAAAACCTGGGCAGCACCACTCACACTGGGGCACGGTCTTCTTCATCTCCTCACGGATAGTCCTCTCCAGGCGGCTACACACAGCAGTGGAAAGGGACTGAGAGAGCTGCTGAGACAGGTGCTCCTGGAGCTGCCCGTTGCGCTGCTGTCCTTCCGTCAGCGCGCGGTCCAGTCTCCTCTCTAACGAGAATGCCCATTAAGGAGCACAGACAACACATTTCCTCTCTGTCCTCAACACTTCTCTCCACAAAGATGGACACAAGCCACCACAGACTGCTTTGGGTTGGAAGGGATCTTTAAGGGTCATGGAGTCTAACCCCCCTGCAGGGAGCAGGCACACCTGCAGCTAGAGCAGGTTGCTCAGAGCCCCGGCCAACCTCACCTGGAATGGTTCCAAGGATGGGGCATCCACCACCCCTCTGGGCAACCTGGGCCAGGGGCTCACCACCCTCAGAGTCAAACATTTCTTCCTTCTCTCTAGTCTCAATCTCTCTCTTTCAGTTTCTATCCATCACCTCTTGTCCCATCACAGCAGGCCCTGCTCAAAAGTCTGTCCCCAGCTTTCTTATTAAGGCCCCCCTGAAGTACTGAAAGGCTGCAGGAAGCTCTCCCACGCAGCAAAAGTAGTACAAGGACCACTCACAATAAAAATAACTGGTATCATGTTTGAAAACACCAAAAGAAAGTACTTTTCAGACAACACAGAAAGGACCTGGGGATGACCAGATGCATATCTGGGCTCAGACAAGGTAGCTCCATGTTCAGCTATGCAGCATAGCAGTCAGGTGCTATTCCTGGTGCACATATCTTCTCCTCTGAATGAAGAAACGAAGGAAAAGATCACCCCATAATTACTCTTTTGCAATTGCCCATTGCCTGGCGTAGGAGAATGTCTTAGGTGCACCTCTAGGCTCCTCCAGCATTGCAGCTCTTAGGATCTTAATGAGTAACTAGAAAATGTAATGGCATGGAGAAAGTATCAGTTCCTCTCTGTTCCATTTCTGAGGTGCTCACCCTTCAAAAGGGACCGAGAAGAACTGACACGGTTCTACAGCAGCGAGGCAATTTCACCACATCTACAGCCCACGCTACCAAGATCCTGGAACCTTCTCAGCTTTCCTCACACCTCCAGTCTGCCTTGCAGCCTCCTGCTCCTTAGCTGTGATGCAACCTTTCCCCAACAAGGATACGCTCCTGCTCCTGCTGGGAGTCAATCACTCTCTCCACGTGGCCCATCAGGGAGCTCTGGATGGCGTCGAGGTGATCCGTGAGTCTCTGCAGCAGCTCCATCTGGTTCTGCCGCAGCTCGGAGAGTTCTCGCTGCTGGCTCCTCAATATGCACATCAGCTCATCCTGGAACTCTGGGGTCACCTGTGCGTGGAGGGGACAAGCATTCACCTCCCATAGGGTGGGAGGTCAGCCAAACTTTCTGACGATTAAGTCAACCCCTCTGCCTGGGACTGAGGTGTAGCACACAAAGCACAAAACGGGGCCAGCTTAACATCTATTTCTAAGGCTTTGGGCCCCAGGAATCAACGCATAAAACATGGTACATGAAGTTCCTGCATGGAACTCATAAATGGGCACTTTATGAGCTGTTTAGATACAAGACCCCCTTCAAAGCTCAAAAACAAAGAAAACAGAAGAAAACAAACAGACGAAAACAGATCCTATTAACTTTTGGCTGGAGACCTCAAACACTTATGGAAGAGCTGTGCCATCAGGAGAGTAAGAAGGAGGTTTCCTGGAGCACTTTTTCTGCTCTTTCACTTATTTATGAATAATCAAACAACTGAAGAAGCAGACATCTGTACTTCATTGCCCTGCCTATAGTTCACCTGCTCAAAATAGCTAAAGGACACACACACATCAAGAGCAGTTTAAGAAGTGTACACTGAGAGCATCTTCTGCAAGGTATGAAGGTACCATCAACAGGGATAAGCAATTCTAGAAGACCAGTCCCACTGTGACCCTTACAGACTCCCAGCATGGTGGGGTTGGAAGGCACCTCTGGAGATCATCTCCTCCAACCTTCTGCTCCAGCAGGTCACCCACAGCAGGGTGCCCAGGATGGTGTCCAGGTGGGTTTGGAATCTCTCCAGAGCAGGAGACTCCACAACCTCTCTGGGCAGCCTGCTCCAGGCTCGGCCACCCTCACGCCACAGAGATTTTTCCCTGATGTTGAGGTGGAACTTCTTGTGCTCCAGTTTGTGCGCATGGCCCCTTGTCCTGTTGGTAGGCACCACTGACAAGAGTCTGGCCCCAGCCTCTTGCCCCCACCTGCCCTTCAGCTACTGGCAAGCTCTGTCTTCTTTCCAGGGTCAACACCCCAGGGCTCTCAGCCTTTCCTCAGCACAGAGATGCTCCAGTCCCTTAATCATCTTCATAGCCCTCCACTGGACTCTCTCCAGTAGCTCCTCATCTCTCTGGAACTGGGGAGCCCGGTGCTGGATACAATACTCCAGTTGTGGGCTCCCCAGGACAGAGGAGAGGGGGGGGAGAACCTCCCTCAACCTGCTGGGCACACTCTTAGTGCATTTCAGGAGACCATTTGCCTTCTTGGCCCCAAGGGCCTATTGCGGGCACATGGGCAACTTGCTGTCCAGCACCATTCCCAGGGCCTTCTCTGTTCCCAGGAGGTCAACCCCTCAGCTCTTCTGGTGCAGGACCCTACACTTGCCCTTGCTGAACTTCATGAGGTTCTCCTCTGCTCAACTCTCCAGCCTGTCCAATTCTCTCTGAACAGCAGCACAGCTCTGGTGTGGTCCCAGCTTCATATCACTATGCTGGGAACTAGAATTTTTTGTTTACTATGCTGGGAACAGCTTTCCCTGCTGCCAACACACACGAGTTGCCTCAGCAGAGGAAAAAAAAAAAAAGAGCGGTGGTGTCTTGGATGATACAGGGCTTGTGAGAACACAAACACATCGACACAGAAAGGTGAGGAGGAGCCATCAGCATGGGCATCACTGAGCAGCTCCTGCTCTGCTGCACAAGACAGAACAGAGCAGTGCAGAGCCTAAGCACAGCTCCATCTCAATCTGCCTGGACACAGCAGGGCCCACGAGACTTCAAGGAACTGGGATGAACTTTCTCTTAGGTCTTTCATAAGACAGTAACTAGAGCTGAAGCATCATGCCCTTGGGGCAGACTGCAGAGCAGCTCTCTGACTCACCTGGTTGTTAGATGATCTTGGTGACTGGTTCACATCCCTGGAAATAAAAAGAAACAGTAGTAATCCAATTATGTCAATTAACTGCTCTTATTATCCAACTCTTCTGCCAAAATAGATCATGCATTTTACAGTCACTTTAGATTTTACACTCCAGCTCATACTTCTGCTTTGCCCAGCAGGACGTGAAGAGCGAGGGGCAGGTGATGAAATCCCAGTCCTGATAGCAGTGTGACTCCACCTGCACCACCCGTGGGCCCTGGAGTTCTTTACAGACTGGTGCCTTCACAGGGGGGAGATTTGAACCAAGCTGTCATGAGCACAGTTACAAAGAACAACGCACACTGATTGTTCAGTTTTATCCAAATCCAAAGCCAGGGAAGGCTTTGCCAAACAAATTTTGAAGGTCTCCTGATATTTTACAAAGAAAACCCAACTACTCATTTGTTAAATATAGAATTAATGAGCTTCAAATAATCTAGAATGATTCCAGCTCTCAAGGTGAAGAAATTAGTGATGCACTCCAGAATATACAGCAGAATAAAACAGTGAACTGATCCACTAATATTACATGGATGCAAAATCACAAATCTATGAAGATTCAAATGTTAGCAACAGAAAAGTAAACATTTGTTGTTCTCAGACAGCAGCTTTCAAAGGACTGAGGCAGGAAATATGAAAGGCATTTCTGAGGCTGTGAGCTGCTGGGTGTCACAGTACAGGACCACATCCAGAAACTTAACCCCACAGCCCACCTTTGCTGTAACCTGCAGAGCCAGAGATCCTGATCATGGAGCTATGGCAATACAAGAAGAGAAGAGAGCCCTGTGCAGAAGCTCTGCTGCTCTCTTCATGTTAACACAGGCAGGTTGATCCACCTTGCCATGGGCAGATCATTCCAGTCATCAGTTTTCACTACGAGACACTCGTAGGCATGTTTAGAAACACACCAAAGAAGCAGGCAGGTAGCAAGTGACAGAGCCTGTTGAACAATGTCACTGTGCCTGTGTTCAGAAGCCAACAAGAAATAGAGGCCACATTAAGCTATGCTCAGTGTTACAGGTCCAACAAAACCTTCACCAAAACTGGCAAATGGATCCAGATTCCCCTCTCCCAGGTGCAACTTCCTTCTCACATATCCTTCTGAAGCCCAGGTTGAATTTTGGATGTGGGGTCCCAGCTGGAAGGGTAGAACCAAACCCACAACCACACCCCAAGTGGCAGTCAGTGTCTTAGGAACCTTTCTGTGGGTTTACTGCCATCTGCAAAACAGGGTGAGAGTTGGGAGCTCTCATCTCACTGCTGAGGGCTACGTCAGGATGTGGCCCTGCATGCTGGTCCCACAGCCACCGGTGCTCTGGCAAACCCAACATACCCATCATCTTTCTTGCCCTTCCTCTTCAGCTTCGGGGAAGCCCGAGGAGATGCCTTGGCTTTCCAGTCCTTCACAGGCAGCCTCTGCGTAGACACTTTGGCACCAAATCCACCTGACGTAGAAGCCAAGCTGGCAACTTCATCATCATGGTCACTACGAAGGAACAGCAGGGAAAGGACACCACTTGCAACACTGGACAGCATCAGCCCTCACTAAGAGGAGGGGATTCAGACTCTGCTCTTCATCCACACACGGCCAGTCATGCAGCTAAGGACACCCACCACCTTGACCTCCAACACAAATCTCTACAGAGCAATTTTAATCTGGGCTCGCTCAGGCTGAGTTCAAGTGCTGCACAGAGTCGAGTATGGCCAGAGAAGGGCAATAGAGCTGGGGAAGGGTCTAGAGCCCAAGTGTGGTGAGGAGCAGCTGAGGGACCTGTGGGTGCTGAGCCTGGAGCCAAGGAGGCTCAGGGGAGACCTTCTGGCTCTGCACAGCTCCCTGACAGGAGGCTGGAGCCAGGTGGGGGTTGGGCTCTTCTCCCAAGGAAAAAGCGGCAGGAAAAAAGGAAATGGCCTCAAGTTGTGCCAGGGGAGGTTTAGATTGGACATGAGGAACAATTTCTTCCCCATAAGGGTTGCCCAGGGCGGTGGTGGAGTCCCCATCCCTGGAGGGGTTCCAAAGCCTGGAGATGTGGTGCTGAGGGACACATTTTAGTGGTGACCTAGCAGTACAGGGTTAGTGGTTGGACTCAGTGATCTTAAAGCTCTCTTCACACCAAAACGATTCCATGATTCTGGGATAACAAGACTCGAAGGGTCTCTGCATTAGGGACCACAGTGGTTCAGGCAGCATGGTGGAACAGTGCCTACACTCCCTGCACACACCCATGAGCATACAGGCCCTGGGATGTGATGCTGACCCCGCATGGAGCTCAAGCAGTGCACCCTTACAGCTCGACAGACAGAGAGCACTTAAAGACTGGAGTAACAGAGGAGAAGCTGGCAGCTGCTGACCAGCCACACATTTCAGTTTGAATTCAAGTGTGAATTATGAATGAACGCCCAAGAGCCAAACAGGGCTGAGCTTGCCAGGCACACAGGATGGAGCAAAGATATTAAAAGCAAGAAATGAACTCCTGAGACACCCTTGCTACCCTAGCTAAGGCACAGGATTTGGAAATCAATCCCTTAACAGGTTTTCAGTGGTAATTACACCAGGCTTGGTCCATGCTCTTAGAGCAGCAAGATCAAACCTTTCCCAACAGAGCACACCAGACAATGCCCAGCTGAGCACTCTGGTACCTTTGTTCTGCACTAGCATCCTGGCTGTCGTGCTGCAGCAGGTGGTAGCTGTGTCGATGGTAGGAAGAGCTCTTGTGCTTTTCTTCAACTTCATCCCTCGGGCTAGAGGAGGAATAAAAAAAAAAGAAAATACCATCAGGAAATCCTCTTTCAGCTTGGGTATTTGCTCACGCCACTTGTTTTAGATCTTCTGTCAGGATCTGCTGTGACAAGTAAAGAAAACTCCACAGATCCAGAAAGCACCAAGTGTTTAGAGGCACTAAACAAACTTTTCCACAGGTTTTCCTGGGGGCCTTAAGAAGGGCGATGCAGCTCAGCGATGCCTCAGGCACTAACCAAGAACAATCTCCCAACAGTCGGTCACACAAGACGGGTAAGCCACTCCTCCAAACGAGCAGTACAGCATGCTTCAGTGAACAGCACCACCTTGGGTTTGGTTTTCCTCAAGTAATACTGATCACTGGGGCAAAAATCATCACTGCTACTCAGTCCTTCCAAGGGTCTGAGGAGGAGATAGAGGACAGTGTGCCAACTGGATGGGTTAGCTCCACAAGACAGTAAAACCGCAACAGTGAATCCAGCCTGAGTTTCATACAGGTCTTGAAAAGGAAATTACAAAGGACAAGGTTCTGAAAGGAATTTACACATGCTCTGAAGTCATAAACTTTGAATTCAGTGCAGGGGATTTGTTACTTTCATGTAGGCTGATGGCTTGACTGAGCTAGAAGATTACAAAAAAAAAAAAATTCATGCACAAGAGAGACCTCAGATCCAGAGATACCTCATCTGATACTCTGATACAAGAAGCCCTGAAGAATTCAAAGACAGAGTGAGATTGAGAAGAGTTGCAAACTCCCATAAAAGTTTTTTCTCCACTTCAAATTATGAACAAAAGCAAAAAAGCTGTGTAAAGACAGCCTCAACACTGTGTAGAGACGCAGCCCCAGTGTCCTCCCAGAGCCATCAGAATCAAGACTATTTCTTGAAACAGCACGTCTAGGTGCAGAGGCACAAGGTGAGACCTTCCTCTTGCAATTCTGATGGGAGGGAACAGCCCTGGATTGTCTGAGGGACAACACTAACACTCTCAGCCTGCTAGATCTGTTGGAAAGGAAGATGTCGCCTTCGACAATGTGCCCCACGACATCCTGGTC